ATTGTACAAATCGGGGATTTGGGATTTGTCGATCGACTGAAATTTGAGTTCGATTAAGCGTCTTAGACGATCTTTCGCCTTTTCCAAGGCGCCGATCACTTGATTCACTTCAATGTACATGATATCATTAAAAATCAACTTTTCATAGAAAGAAAAGCTTTCTAGATCTTTAAACTTGTTAATTTGATGTTGTTGTATGTTTTTGACACTTTTTGCTTGTTGGTAAGCCTTTTTGGTCTCTTCATTTGATAAATTTACCCGAACCAATTCATCACCTCGCGCTTTTTCCATCCATTTCCCAGAAATCACTTCAACCATCGTCAAATCATCTTTAATAAACCTATTATAAGAAAAAGGCTTCGATGAATGAATGAAATTCCCTTTCTCTACCAGCAACCAGCTTTCTTTCGATCCGATTGTCGTATAATGATCGAAACCGATCTTCTGACTGTACATCGACGTCACAAAAACATTGAATCTTGTCAATGCTTGGCACAGCTTATTGTACAAACCCCAATCCTCAAAATGAACCCTTTTCAGCTTCTCTATCAGTGAAAAAGCTTTAATGTACTCGTCGAATTGAGCTTTTCGATGCCAAAAGACGATTTCTTCGATCAGTTTTTCTTCTTTCTCTTCACTCAACTCTTTTGCGTTAATATTGCCGACATGACATTGTTTCAATAGCTTTTTCCGTAGAATCTCCTGTGTTCTCTTCATAAACTCGATCTTCTCTTTTGTGTCCAATTTCTCGAAAAATTTCTCGAAATTTCTCATGGCTTCTTTGAAGTTTTCCATCGAATCACCATATTCGCAGAGATTTGGATCGGTGTTGACACGTTTACGGGTGTAGTTGCAACTGAAAGCTTTTGAAAACTAAATCTTGATGTAATAACTTGTTTTTCTGATCTCTAGAAATATAAAAAAACTTTTAGTATTATTGCTATAAGCTATACAAGAACAGTGGCATCGCGAAAACTAGAGCGTATTTCTTTTTTAGAGCCAACCTCTAGAAGAAAATTTGCCTAACAACAGCTTCTTTTTTACTGCCAATCAAACATTATTCAATTTTGAACAAAAACAAAAGCACTCTCTAGTAGACGGGGAAATTCCAACCATAACCTAATTCCACCTTCGTTTTCTCAGTCGTCTCCTGGCCAATTGCTCTGAAATTTTGTCTACAAATAGAAATTGGCATTCTTTGCTTGTAGACAAAATTTCAGAGCAATTGGCCAAGAGACGACTGAGAAAACGAAGGTGGAATTAGGTTCGGATTGGAATGTTCCCCATGTCTAGTCTCTAGTGATACAGTTGCTAACGAGGGAACTACAACTACTTACCACCTCAGATCGACTCCAAAATTACAGGGGGGAAAGATCATCACAAAAGAAGAATTTTCTGAAATTTTTAGCTGCTAAATGCCAGAACTAACTGAAATATAAGGTTTCAAAGTTCAAAGTAGCTTAAACTTAAACATTTTTGGGACTTGCACGGCACTCTTTAAAGGGAACTCTCACAGGCACTCCCAAAGGTTAGCCGAGTGGCCGAGTGGTTAGGAGCGCGACCTGGTAGTCCGAGTGTCGCTGGTTCGGCTCCACCCCCAAAAGTTTTTCTTTTTGCAAAACTGCATAATGTGCGTTCTATTTTTTTCGCTTTTCAAAGTTTATTCTGATTTTTTTTTACCATAAAAGGTCAGGATAACAAAACTTTATTTAAAACTAATAAACAGCAAACAATTCAACAACGGTGGAAAGATTCGACAAAATGAAGGAAGCAGAATATATTCAGAAAGTTGCTGGTGTCACATAATGAGGAAGTACATCATCAATATAATGAGCGCTTTTCCAGGCTTCGAGCATACATGGGACAAAACGTGGCGCCCGGAACTGGTGGTAGATCTGACTGATCATCTTCAGGATAGAATCGCGTTGGCTCACTTGGAAGTCGATTTTGGAGGCAATGACGTGTGCGGTCAACTTTTTCACAAACGACTTGAAGAGTCGGAAGAAATGAACATCCAACGGTTGAATCTGCGACGTCGCTCCAGGTGGAATGCGTTTCAAAATGAGCTCCTTGCCAGCTGGGACCGTTGCTTGAATGCTCGAAGCCTGGAAAAGCGCTCATTATATTGATGATGTACTTCCTCATTATGTGACACCAGCAACTTTTTGCTGCCCAGGAGATTTGATTGGTGCATGTAATAAGATAAATTGCGATAATATGCCGTACATTCGTTGTGCTTATTGTCTGAATATATTCTGCTTCCTTCATTTTGTCGAATCTTTCCACCGTTGTTGAATTGTTTGCTGTTTATTAGTTTTAAATAAAGTTTTGTTATCCTGACCTTTTATGGTAAAAAAAATCAGAATAAACTTTGAAAAGCGAAAAAAATAGAACGCACATTATGCAGTTTTGCAAAAAAGAAAAACTTTTAGGGTGGAGCCGAACCAGCGACACTCGGACTACCAGGTCGCGCTCCTAACCACTCGGCCACTCGGCTAACCTTTGAGAGTGCCTGTGAGAGTTCCCTTTAAAGAGTGCCGTGCAAGTCCCAAAAATGTTTAAGTTTAAGCTACTTTGAACTTTGAACTTTGAAACCTTATATTTCAGTTAGTTCTGGCATTTAGCAGCTAAAAATTTCAGAAAATTCTTCTTTTGTGATGATCTTTCCCCCCTGTAATTTTGGAGTCGATCTGAGGTGGTAAGTAGTTGTAGTTCCCTCGTAAGGTGGCTAGCAAAGTTTTTGACGAACAAAGCACTGTCGTTGTTCTAGCTTTTAGCGCTTTAACATTTTAACTTTCATTTGATCAAACTAGTGGGCTAAAGCAGAGCCACTTTTACGGTAGTTTTTACTTTAAAAACACTACTTATAAACGCTACTTATAAACACTTGTTGGTACCGATTTGATTTGAACTTTTCTGCCATAGTTGGAGACTTGAACTCATCGTTTATCACTTCACTTTCTTCATCATCCCCATGAAAATCTATTGAATCCATCCGTGTCCATCGTGGTCTTTCTCCAAATTGATGATCAAATGGCGACGAATAGGGTTGTTGATTTATAGGAAAATCGAAAGAAAAACTCGGTGGCGTCAAATCGAAAGAAGAATTCGCAAAGTATCCATTGAAATTGAGCTAAAACTTTCTTTATTTGTAAATCTTTTGTATCTTCATTGTATCTTCATTTTAACGTAGTCAAATCACTACCTAATGACTAGTTTTATTAGGGTGGTGCAAAAGAAACTGCCGATTTGACGGTAAATTCAAAAAAAAGATGGCGTTCGATGGTGACATGATCACAATGGAATATTTTCGCAAGATCTCAAGCAGATTGGCATGGATCGGCCTGAATAACGTCCCTCAGCTTGGCTTCGTTCACGACTTCTGGCCTCGAACCGTGCTCGTAATCTTCCAAAGCCTCGTCTCCCTCTCGGAATCGTTGAAACCAAGTCTGACACTGCCTGAGAGACAAACTGCCATCTCCGAAAGCAGCACAGAGAGAACGATGCGATTCGGCAGCAGACTTTCCAATTTTGAAGTTAAACAGTAATGCTGTTCGTAGCACAAACTTTTGCTCGATCATGATCTAAATAAAAATATAGGCATTTTTAAATAAAATAAACAACAACCAAAAAATTCAAATGTCGAAATAAATAGCAAACAAATATGCGAAAAAAACATAAAAAAATAATGCCGTTAACATCGCTCTTTTCTGATAAATGAGAGCTGATACCCATCGGCAGTTTCTTTTGCACCACCCTAATAGTTTAAAAACTTAAAAATCCTTAAAAAACCTCCCTTCGATCATCGGTGCGAAAAAATTGAGCATAATTCACCTGATCTTTTTCATATTTTTCTCTAGAAGATCTCGAGTTTGTCGAATTTCTTGAGAAACAACGGAATAGAGAAGAAAATTTCATGCAAATAAAGAAATCCTTTTCGTTTTCTTGATTATCAGCTTTTAATCAATAAAGCTCCAATTTTATGTTGAAGAAAAAGAGAAAAAGGTGATTTTTCTTTATCAAATGATCGACTATTTGATAAGAGATTAGCTAGAGAAAAGAACAAAAAAAACCTTGAACCATTTGATTAGGGATGAGGGATTAGAGATTTGTAAAATTGGCTTCGATGGTGATTTGATTGTTGGAAGAAAATGCTTTTTAATATTTCAGATACACATTTTTTCAATAGGGAAACTTTCCCAAACTAAAAGCTTTCATCTAAATCGTCTGCATAATATAATAACGAAATTTTAAGCGTCTGCTCATTTCCTCTGAACTCTGAACTGTCAAAAAGCTAGGTTTATAGCCAAATTTTCAAAATAATCTTTTGATTTTTGAGCCAAAATTTTGAGCCAATCACCTTTTATCGATTTTTGTGCTCGGATTTAACCTGCAAGCATCTACAACTACTGTAGATACTATGTTTCATTTATTTTGACCGTATTGCACTTACAATTTGTAAGTTTTTACTCTCTACTGTGATACTAGGGTAAAAGAATACAGGGTGCGGCAAAAGTTTGGAGCCGCTTCTTAAGTTAGTTAAAGATTTAAAAACTAGCTTTAAAAAGTCAAAAATTAATAACAAATTCTTTATTCAACAATCATAACAACAAATAACTTATAAAAAATGCTCGAAATTTCCACCATCCGCTTCGAAACACCTCTTTAAACGCTTTGGGAAGTTTCTCACAATGGTGGAGCACTCTTGAACAGTTATTTCATTCCAGGCTCGTTTCAGAGCAGCTTTTAAAGCATTCACTGTTTGACACAAAAAAAGCGTGAGCTAAATTTTCTGCAATGTTTTCGTAGCGGCTCCAAACTTTTGCCGCACCCTGTATGGTAATGTAACTAACAGTAACTCTTTTGTACAATAATTTGCATTAAAGCAGTCGAATTTCTTTAGTCTAGCGACTAGTCAGTTCACCATTAACACCTCTAACAAACACTTTAAGCAAATAGATTTATTTATTGACAAAGAAACATTTTGCATCATTATGTCAAATGATCAACTTTTTGTCCAAAGTGATTTGGTGAAGCTAAAAGAAAATCGAATGAATTGGGTAACAGAGCTAGAGATTTGCTCTCTTGGGATGTACATAATGATTCAGAAATTATAGCGACTTGGAAAGAAGTCGCCATAAGTCGTTTTTTGGAAAAGTTGCTGACAAATGCCTGACTTACGCTTGAAAAATGGCAGATCGCTGGAGAGAGGTCGACTTTCGCTCATTCAAGAGCTTGTAAAATGAGTTGTATAATTCGAATCGAAAAATTCTTTGTAGATAAATGATGCGAAAATGAAGGGCTTTCTTTTTCGATATAACACTTGACACTTTAGTAGTCAGGCGTTTGACAGCAACTTTTCCAAAAAAGGACTTATGGCGATTTCTTTCCAAGTCGCTAAAAAAGGTGTCGCCATAATTCGTGCTGCACTCAGCACACACCCTTTTTGTACCCATTTCAGCAGTTTCAACCTGATTTCTTGCTTATTTCTTTACCTGGAAATCTCCCTCAATTTTAATCTTCGCCAAATCCCTCGTTGCTGGCCGATGTTGAAAAGTGGTGAAATATTTCCCGTCAAAGTAAAGCACCAAACCGTCGTCATTGTTGAGAATCGTGAGATCAATGCTAAATTTTTTTTTTGATTATGATTAGCTATGTTTCTCTTGATTGAATGCTTGGGTTTTGTTTTTAAGTGTTTTTTTGAGGCTTTTGAAGATTTGCAAACAGTTTTTGGAGCAAAAGATGCGTGCATTCGAATCCAGAGCTAAACCAGCCGAACTTTTTCCGGGAAAATTAGTTACCCAGTATCTAGATCAGGGCCAGAAAAATTAAAATAAATCATTTATCAATAATTTATCGGGTTTGCCGGTCAGTTGCAGGTTTTGTTGAGTCTCTCCAGCTCTCCGTATAATCCGATCTACCCTATGCACCTACATTTTCCAATTGTCAATCGGAAATTCCCCATCTCTTTCCTCGTTTTCCCATTTTCCGTTTAAAAATGTATTCCTCACAATCACTCCTTCTTCGAAACGGACTGAGATCTAAAGTAAGAACAGTTTTCAACGAGAACGATATGAAAGATAAGAAACCAATCAGCTCAAACCTGAAAGGCTGGCTTCTCCTCAGAAGACAAAAAAGTGATGTCGAAGCGTTCACCTAAAATATCAATTTGTTGTTAACATCATTTCCAACTGAGTGGAATCTCCTCATCATTTGAATAAGAAGCTCGTCTTGATTGCTTGAAGAAAACTGTTGAGTCACAAGTTCGACAACATCCGTTACAATAATATCCACAGCTATAGCAACTTGATTGGTACTCGGATTGACCGTTGTAGAGATAACTGGAATGATTGGAATTATTGAAGTGGATAAAGTATAAAACCTGTAACTGGGTACCCGAGTGTTGAGTAGATAGCCCGTGCCAAAACCTGTACCAAATCCGACGGCGAATGGTTGCCAACCTGAAGGTACCGATTACGGGTACTGTAACTAGTAATTAGTAGTTAGCTACGGATAAAATTATGGTCAAACCTTTTGAACTTTATTCAATAATATTACCTTTCAAAGAATTCCTCTGTCGTGCTTGATATTGTCTATATGCTGGCGTCATGAAGTAATCCCCGTACAGATAATGCCCATTTCGTTGCCCAAACCATTTCGGTTTCTCGTAGTTGTCGTAACTTCCACCAGATGAGGATCCTAAAAGAGTTAGCTAGACTTGGATAGCCATTAACGACACTGTAAGCCTTGGTGAATACAGGGTTTAAGAATAAGCATTCTTAGGGTAAAAATAGTCAAAGATTTCAAATTTGAACTCCTCTTTTCTCTAACTTCATTAGTTCGAGCCGTACTGGATTCTTGGAGAGGGGACAGAACTTTTCAAGCACCCTGTACATTGTTACCGTTAACTGTTAGTCTAAGCCTAGTCTTTTTTACTTTGACTAAGCTGTATTACCACTGGACCAGCCACCAGATGAATGCGATCGATACGATGAACGATGCGACGATGATCGATAGGATGAAGATCGATATGAGCTTGAAGAGGATGAACTGGAGGAACGAGATGAGGATGAAGAGGAGCGGGATGAAGAAGAACCACGAGATGATGAACGAGATGAGCTCCTGAAACGGGATTTTTCAAAATAACTAATGGTGAGATGTTAAAATTTGCAATACTTTGTTGCAAAATTGGTTTATGAAAAAAATCGTCAAGAAAGCACTGCATACGAGTTGAAAAAACTCGACTTTCTAAATTATTTTTTGCAGTTTACTAAATTTGATAATCGAAAAATCGATTTATCGGAGCTCGATCACTAAATTTCACCAAAAGGAGTCAGATCCCCGTTGTTCTTGTTTAACGATGAGAAAGTCTTCACTATTTAACAGTTTTCGAATCTACGAGCCATTGAAAATGTTAGAATCACATTTCTGTTTTGGTTTTATCTAAGAAAGCTTAACGAGAATTTGTGAGAAACTCAATTTTCCCGGCACAGTAGGCTTTCCACAAGTGTTTCTATGCAAGCAACAGCGCAAAAGGCAATAATTTTGAAAAAAGTAACTTAAAGTTGTTAACATTGGGCGTATTGGTAAGTGTGTTTCCTTTTTAGCATTAAACTTGTGCAAAATGTGCTCTAAACCTAGTAAAAATCGTCACTCCAGCATACTTGTAGAGATAAAGTAACTTAAAGTTGTTAAAATTGAGCGTATTGGTATGTGTGTTTGTATTTATGGGGATCAGCTTCAGTGTTTATCTCTTGTAGAGATAATCACTGAAGCTGATCCCCATAAATATTGAACACTGGGCAAATAGGAAGCAGTTTGTGTACCTTGATGACGAAGATCCACGGGAAGAGCTTCTTCCCGAGCTTCTCCTCTTCACTCTATACGTATTCCCATACAAGCGGCTCCTCCAATTGTTGTAAGATGTGAAATTCCCGGTTGCGTACATATCTAAAAAACGGTTTTCAGAGAAATTCCTCTCTCTTACTTGTAAAATCATTTAAATTCGTCACTCCAGCATACTTGTAGAGATAATCGCTGAAGTTGAACGGTTTCCTCCAATCGATTTCCACACTCGTTTTCATCAAATTCTCACTTTCATCGTTGCTTGAGAGCAATTTTTGCATCTCGCTTTTATCCCAGACTAAATTTTACGGTAATGAATCCAAAATTTTTGCACCATTTGGAATCGGTTGTCCGGAGATATCAAGACGAGATCCGTTTTCGAAAGAAATCTCGGCTTTAAACGGCAAATAGTTATATTTTGCTCCTTCGACTCTAAAGAATCAATGATAATTTCAATTTTCAATTCAGACTTGAATACTATTAGGCTAGTACATTGAAAACTAACTGGCTTTGCTTGGTACTAAATTAAAAATTTGCATCACTTTACAGCAGTAGACTTGGGTTATCAAACAATATCAAATCAAAATCAACTCCAAGATCGTTATCAAACCCAAATCCAAAGTCAAACCTTGGATTTGAAGCCTTGAAAGAAGATCAAAAGTTGGATTTTTTAAAATCTAATAAGGATTTGACGACTAAGTCTATTTTCATCTCTTTAACCAGATCTTCTTTCAAGGCTTCAAATCCAAGGTTTGACTTTGGATTTGGCTTTGGCTTTAATAACAATCTCTTTAACCAGATCTCTAAATCTAAGCCAAATTTCTATCAAAGTTAACAAGATTTTCAACCTGAACAAGCTCAAATTCTTCAACGATCCCCTCAGTTCGACAGTTTTCACCTAAACACAAAAACATTTTTCAAATTCCTACAACTTACCGAGGCAAATGAGTCCGGCAATGGGTAGATCCCAACTTCACCCGTATTAACGAATAACTGGAATTGCTTTGAAAGCTTATTCACAATCACCAAACCTGAAGATGATCTTGCAAAATACGAATCCGAAGATCAAACTCGTTGCTACTCTGTAATTTCTATTGAAAAACTGGAATGGAATGAAATCAAATTTAATTAATTAAGAGTACTTCAATTTTGCAAGTCATTCTACTTTGAAATTTAATTGAGCCTTTTAAATATACCGTAAATACTGTAATTGGATCCCACCCACATCGGATTTGATGTTTTTTTGATGATTTTTGTATCAAAATGTTCGTGAGAGTCTCTAGAATAAAACTTATCCCCTAGTTTTTGGTTCTAGACCCTCGTTGTCGAGCTACGAGCTGCAAACTGCAGGGTACCACAAAATTTCCCATACAAAATGACCAAAAAACCTCTAAAACTAAATTTTAAAAATTTCTGTCAGAGGGATTTGGAAAATTCCTTCACATTCGGAATCAGCACAATTTTCCGCATCTAAAAAAGGTATTCCCAGAAAAATCCTATAGAAAACGCATTTTTGACTTATTTCGCGCCGATATGCCACCCCCATAATGACGGTGCGGAGTGTTGCGTAGTCTAGCTCTGGACGCGTTTTTCTCGACACTGGTTTATGCTACAATGCGCGCTTCGGTATCAAAAAATAGCCTTGAATTTCAGCTATTTTTTGATACCAAAGACGCATTTTTTGGAAGTACGGGCGCTTTGAAAAAAATGAAATACTAAAAAACTTTTGCGACTACGCGACTGTACGAGGGCGGTGGGGTACTATTACAGGATTTACGGTAAGTATCCTCAATTAAAATCTAATTATGCAATCAAAAAAAAATTTAATTAAAGTGTTTTAAAATGGAATGGGACGATTAATTATCTTTCATTTGATTGGCTTACGGCAAGTGGTGTTGGAGTGGAATCGTTTAGAATTGTCCCGTTCATGAAGCTCACTTCATAGATGGCACCTGAAAACTAAACGAGTAGACTAGAAAGTTTTGATTGAATGCTGATCTCAAAGAAAGCTCATTGACACGAAGATTCCAAGGTATTGTTTTTTTTTGAATTTTATCAACTTTGATATGTTTAATTTATTGTATGCACTTGAAATTAGTGGAAAATCTCAAGCTTACGCAATTTCTCGACTTCCGAAACTGCTCTCGTAAAATATGAAATGGGAATGAAGGTGGCGTTTGCCTTGAAATCGATTCGTAATCTAAAATAACTCTCAAAGAACAAAATTAATTAGATTTCCTGATTATGAATAGAATAGTTTCTTGCGAAGTAGTTTTCTAAAAATATTCCTTTTATTTTAGAAAGTATATTTTAAAAGGAAAACTTTAATCATAAAAGAATTACCGTTAAAAAAAAACTCTAATAGAAGCCCCAGAGCCTCGATTTTTCAACCCTCAAAACCAGTTGGCCAAAAAAGAGGTAAACTTCCCCCAGGTGAATCAAAAATTTATTTTTCCTTAAAAACTGTTTTAAACCTTGACTTAAAACGTTTGTAGAATAGGTTTTCGAGTGAAAATTTTTCTTATCCAGAGCCTCCAGAAATTTTCCCGAAAAAAATCGCTGTGGTTCCTCCTGTCGGTTTTTTTCAACAAATTTTTTATTGGGCTCGTGAATTGAAAACTGCGAAAGTGCGGAAATGCGGAAGTGCGGAATTGCGGAATTAGTGCTGAGTGCAGTCTTAAACTTTTAATCTGAAGCAGCAACTGGATCAGTCAGTGCTCTTCCCGAGGCAACTTTTCCGAACCAGGCTAAGGCTCAAACTGATTTTACTTATAGCAGTTTTCGCCAGTTTTTACCGATATTTTTACTTATATCGCAGTTTTTACTTATGTCAAACAAGTCTTTTCGCTTTTTTTTGTATTTCTATTTATTGGGTTCGTGAATTGAAAACTGCGGGACTTTGAACTAAAATTTATTCAACATAAAACGATGAATTCATTCGAAATAATTTCCATTATTATTGACGACTTTTGCCCATTTTACAGGCTATTTGCGGATTCACCTTTCGTGGTAGGATTTTGGCTTGTGTGTGAGACAAGTGTGAGACTCAAAAATGGAGGACTGGAGATGTCCCAGTTTGAGCACTTACTTCAAAAGAAACCCATTTTGGTGTCAATAGAAAAGTTGTAGAGAATCAAAAACTAGGCTTATAGCGAAATTTCCAAAAAGATACACTTAGTAGTTTCGCTTAAAATGCAAGTTTTGTGAAAATTCGTAAATTTGGCATTTCTTGAAAACCAGTTTTTGAATCGTTCTGAAAATTTGGATATAATCTTAATTTTTGATTCTCTACAACTTTTCCATTGACACCAAAATGGGTTTCTTTTGAAGAAAGTGCTCAAACTGTGACATATGACAATAGCCCGCAGTTTTCAATTCACCAACCCAATAATTTTTTGAAAACCGTCTAACCAATTTTACTGCCGATGATAGTTTTGGCTATTTATACTGAATTCTATCCATTTGCGTCAAAAATGTCTCAAAAAACTTGTCCGAGCTACCGTAATCCGGCTCTCAATCTAAAGCATGCCCAAGCCTGGTCCTGGTCTAACTGTAATGAGCTTGGGTTATTGTAAATGAGCTTGGGTTGCTGTAACTGGGTTACAGTAGATGTTTCAAAGCTTTGAATCTTCGAAAAAGGCGCCAATCCTTGAAAAGTTTGCAAGTAATTTGAATCGTAAGTCAAATCTGATGCTATTTAAAATATTGATTGATTTGATTGATTGATCTTTCTTCTTTAAAATCCTTATTCAGAAAGATCTCTCGATGTTCGATTATTTGAAGAAAACTCTTCTCGTCGCTTTGAAAGCAAAACTCAAAGTGGTTTATAATAAAAAGGTAGTAGTTTTGTTCTTTTTTGTCTTCTTTTTCATTCTCAATTTACTTAGATTCAACCAAAGATGACTTCAATGAAGAACTCGGGAAAAACAACGAGTGCTATGCTGGAAGCGGCTTGCGAACTGGGGACAGCTGTGGCAACACCAAATTTGATCTCTGAAATTACAAAGGTTTACAGAAAACTATTGCAAATCAAGGTATCGTTGCAAATGCAAACCCAAAATTTCATTTGACTGATTTTTGCACTGAAAAAACACCAAAATTGGGGTAATGGGTTGGTGAATTGAAAACTGCGGGATTTTGAACTAAAATTTATTCAACAAACAAACAAACATAAAACCATGAATTCATTCCAAATAATTTCCATTATTATTGACGACTTCTGCCCATTTTACAGGCAATTTCCTCTTTCGTATTCCGATTCCTCTTTCGTAGTAGGATTTTGGTTTGTGTGTGAGACAAGTGTGAGACTCAAAAATCGAGGACTGGAGATGTCCCAGTTTGAGCACTTACTTCAAAAGAAACCCATTTTGGTGTCAATAGAAAAGTTGTAGAGAATCAAAAACTAGGCTTATAGCGAAATTTCCAAAAAGATACACTTAGTAGTTTCGCTTAAAATGCAAGTTTTGTGAAAATTCGTAAATTTGGCATTTCTTGAAAACCAGTTTTTGAATCGTTCTGAAAATTTGGATATAATCTTAATTTTTGATTCTCTACAACTTTTCCATTGACACCAAAATGGGTTTCTTTTGAAGAAAGTGCTCAAACTGTGACATATGACAATAGCCCGCAGTTTTCAATTCACCAACCCAATAATTTTTTGAAAACCGTCTAACCAATTTTACTGCCGATGATAGTTTTGGCTATTTATACTGAATTCTATCCATTTGCGTCAAAAATGTCTCAAAAAAAATCGATATTTCGAGGGGTCAGCGGGGAGGGGGCTTCTATTGGAGAGGCGGCTTCTAATAGAGTTTTTACAATAACTGATTCAACCCACTGATGTGCTGGATCTTCAAACTCTCCAATGATATGAAGCATTTGACCCCATTCAGAACTATTCCAAGACATGATTTGTGGCTTGGAAAGTGACGGAACTTCCTGATAAGCAAATTTCTTCTAATTTTATTTGTATTTGTTTCATACGCACCATTTGTTGAAGATTCAGATTTTTGGGAATCGAATCGGCACTGGTTCGAACAAAAGCCGGTTTTGAGGTTCCAAAAAGGTCCGAAAACGAAAAACCATTTGTTACTAGAGAACTTTTAATAAAAAAAACATAAAAAATAATGTAAAAACAAACTCACGTTGGAATAAAAGAATAAAAAAGAGAGCTTTCATTGTTGAGAAGTCGAACACCCTACAATGTAAAGCTTTTAAGCCGTAATCACAGAATTTAGACAATACTTGATAAACGAATGCCTCAAGAAGGGTTTTGAGCGATCTCTTCCAAATGACTCACAACCATCATTGTTGATCACATTTATTACACATCTTGGATGTCCTGGGACAGCCTTTTTCCGCTTTTTCCGCTTTTTCTTTAGTTCACCAAAAAACCATCAACATGTGGTACTCAATAATGAAAAAATTCCTCCGATCAAAACACGTGAAAGAGTTAAACTTCCGGCTCTGGATTACGTTGATAAAGGATCAAGAACCAGTGGAAGATGGTCAAGTCTTTCCTTTCGAGTGGCAGATAGAAAATTTTAATTACATCGATTAAAGGAGAAAATTAACGAAATTTTATGCTAATAATCGCCTTTTTTGTGCTATATTGTATATTTTAAAGTTTACTGACTTAGTTGCCAAGTTTCTTTGTTGTATTTCAAAGGATATTACCGGCTTGAAGCCAAGCAGCAAACGTTGCTCAAACGTCGACTGAGATGCCATTTCTTAAACGTATACCGATTTTTCATCTATTATATGATTTTCTTTGCTGCGTGGAGTCAAACAAATCAGACCAAATCGCATTTTAGCCTAGATCCAAAGCTTGGAATTGGACTTCGGATCAGTTTTCAGAATGCTCTCTAGCGTGTTTTAGTTTAAATCCATCGTTTATGTATGCCTAGGTTTAGAACTCCGCGAAAAATAAACATTTATTGAATAGTTTTAATATTTTACATGGTCCCCACTTCTATTCCAATCATTTTGACTAAACTGTCCCTCACACATTTCATCTAAAGCGAGATTAACGGTGATCTGTCCATCATTGTCCATCATTATTTCCCCTGAAAAAAAAATGCGTGTGGATAAATTGTGTAAATCGGCTTAGGTCAGGCTTAAATCCGTTGAATGGCTGCCAGTTAAAAGTGATCAAAAACCTTGGAATTGATTTGAAAGAAAAGATCAGGTTCATTTAAAAGAATTTTGGAGCGCAGTATGAAGCAATTGTAATAAATTCAGAGCAAAAAAAACGTTATTAGGGGTTTTGATATGAAAAAACGCTATCGCTAGAAGCCAATTGTATTCAATCAGTAATATAAATTCGAAGTGAAATTGCCCTATTTTAAAAATCGTTTTTTTTTCTCTGGGAACAAACACAAAGTATTTATGAAGAGCAAACAACCAAAATTTACTTTGCTTTACTTTATCAAAGTACCAAGTACTTTACCAAAACCAAATCGTAAAGACAGCCATTCATTGAATATTTATTTGTAAAAAAAACAATTAACAAAAAGATAACAAAAACCTAAAACATAACAAAGAACAAACAACGCGATTAGTCAATAATGTTTAACGGACTGCCATCATCCATTTCGTCATAACTTTGATCGAGGAGAAGTGTAGTCCGCGAGGACAGGGAAGCATCAAGACGAATCTCTTCATCCATTTTTTCCGCGTACTTCTGCGTGTAACGAGTTGGAAAACGTCTAAAATAAAATAATAAAACCACAAACTAAATTAAATGATACCGAGAGATCAGCAGTTGTTGATCAGCGTCGTACACTTTCACCAAATCTTCCACGATGGAAGGGAGAAGCCACCCTCTTTGCTTGTTTCTATAAATTACACCAAGTCGACTAAACCAAACATAAGTAAAGGTAAAAATAAAGACTTCTACCTGAAAAGTCGTTCAGCAGAAGCCGACAATCCGGAGACACAACACCAACACACAAACACGCGATCTAGTTGTTGAACGTAAAGATTTGCATCAACAGTTTGACCAGAAATTAACACTTCGAAATGAATCAGGCCTCGGGTAGTCCACCAAATCGACAGCATAACTTTCTTTCCGTGAAAATCAGGTTTAGGTATTGACTTTGGAATTTCACCCGGGTTGAGCCATTGTCTTATCCTTGTAATATTGTCATAATGAATCCATTTCTTATCAGAAATTAAAACTGCGTTCCAAAATTCACTATTCTTGGAAATTCTAAGCTATTTTCCTGAACAAAGAACTCTGATGGCTTTGCTTGCATCGCTTAGTGAATGTGGAATCCATTTCCCAGCTTTATTGATCTTGCCCAATTCATGCAAATGGTTTTCGATTGTTTTATGATCACAATTAAAATATTCCGCAAGTTCACATGTAGTCTTTGTCGGATCACTTTCGATTATCTGCTTCAAATCGTTGTTTGCCACAGCATGTGAGCTGTGTCCTCGTTCCAGATCTTCTAGACTTCGGTCACCCTTTCGAAATCTTTTGAACCAGTTTTGACATTGACGAACAGTGATAAAATCTTTCTCAAATACGTTACAAAGTGATTCATGCGACTCAGTTGCTGTTTTTTCATGTTTGAAATCGTACAGCACAATCGTACAGCACAATCGTACAGCACAATCGTACAGCAACAAATGCGAACTCGATATTTGAGGTCGTATAGCAGCTATAAGATTTTTTTATTAAAATTCTTCAACTAGAAATAAAGAAAAGACGCGTAATAAAGCAAAATAATTATATCTTTAAAACAGAAGAGATTGCGGTGGTAATAGTATCCACAGTGTTAAAATTCATAAAGAGGAACGCAAACGAATTTTCAATGTCGCCAACCTAATATTTGAATGGCGCCAAGTAAGTTTTTAAAAACTGGCAGTTCATCAACTGGAAACATTTTGATAATCAACATGGTATCATAAAGAAAATAATACCAAATGGATTGATTCCAAAATACTTAAGAAACGGAGCATAACATTTGAGGATTGTCGCTTGTTGCTCGACAGTGCAATCTGCGGAGATCAGTTCAAAGCACAAAACTGAAATGATTAGTGCAATATTGTAGACCATTTGAGCATTGGAGCCAAGCATGATAACGAATCGGTTAATAAGTATTTGTGTGCTGTTTTTTGTTTTGTGCAGTTGCTGTTTTTTCATGTTTGAAATCGTACAGCAACAAATGCGAACTCGATATTTGAGGTCGTCTAGCATCTATAAGATTTTTTAATTAAAATTCTTCAACTGGAAATAAAGAAAAGACGCGTAATAAAGCACAATAATTATATCTTTAAAACAGAAGAGATTGAGGTGGTAATAGTCCACAGTGTTAAAATCCATAAAGTGAAACGCAAACGAAATTTCAATGTCGCCAACCTAATATTATTGCTATTGAGATTCAAAAGTTTCACACTGGATCAAATCCTTTTCGAAATACTCAAAGCCATTTTGACTGATAAATTTCTGCAATATAGCGCAAGTACAACAAGCAGACAGTCTCCTTTTTCCATCACACGTGGAAAACTTTCAGGTACAGTACATTTCCCATTTTGACTGATAAATTCTGCAATGTAGCGGAAGTACAGCAAGCAGACAGTCTCCATTTTCCATCTCACGTGGAAAACTTTCAGGTACAGTACATTTCCCCAACCCTCATTTTTTTCTTTATCTCCGACTGTCCAACGAATGGGAAAATAATGAGGGTCAAAAATAGGTTTGCGCTCTTTAAAAATTCGATCTCTGATGTGAAATTTTAGCAAAAATTACAACAAGTGTTCTTTTAATGGAATCGAATTACAGCAGAAATCACAATTGGTGAAAAAAAAGAGGCAAAAAAAGCTTTTTCTAGATTGTGGTGAACCGAGTGAGATCTCTGGTACAAATAGCTGTCAGAAGTATAAAAGATCGATGGACAGCAGGAGTTGTTAGTCATCCTGCTTTTTGCCGTGCGTCTGGTATCGACTGTGTCTGAAACTAGCTTAAACAGTCTTCCTTCAACTACCCTTATCTTTCCATCATTCAAATTCAACTGCAAACTAAGGCTTCGAGCACAAATATTAGGTTGAGGAAAAAAATAGTGCGCGTCTTTTTGGTGCAACAATTTATTGCATTCTACAAGAAATAATAGCGACCATCAATCAGTAAGGTATTCTCTTTATCGATGACTTCTTCCCATCATCGACGCAATTCCTTGATTCCATTTGTGAAAAATTGAGGATTTTTGGAGCCAAAATAGTTGTCCAGAGCTTTTTGAACTTGAGCATAATCATCGAACTTTTCTCCCATGATCAACTGTTTCAGGGGTCGAAACAAAAAGTAATCCAAAGGAGCTAAGTCAGGACAGTAAGGCGCATGAGAAAGTAGATTCCAGTCATTTTCCAGTCATTCCAGTCGCATGAGGAAGTAGATTCCAGCCTAGCTTGTCATTTTTTTTGTGAGTGACTTTTGCAGGGTGAGATTTTGCGTTGTCGTGCAAAAATCGAATCTTTGATGGATTGAGCCTCAATTTCTTTAAAGCACTGCTAATTCTAGTCAATTATTTTGAACAGAGATCAGCATCAATGTTTTCTAGATTAGCTTATAGTGCACCAAACCTTTTGAGTGCCACTAGCAACAGGAAAATGCACTCCAACTGAGTTATACAATTTTTGAGTTCCACTAGCAACAGAGAATTATTTTCTTTTCATGAATATCAGGTTTAGGAGTGGTTTGAGGGGCTTGTCCGGTAGATAGCCATTTGTTTCTTTTTCTAACATTCTTGTAATTAATCTAAGTTTCATCAGATGCCAAAATCGAATCCCAAGAACCACCAGCTTTGCATTTATGGAACAAAAAAGACGCTGACACTGACGTTGACACTGACGTTGACACTGACGTTGACACTGACGTTGACACTGACGTTGACACTGACGTTGACACTGACGTTGACACTGACGTTGACACTGACGTTGACACTGACGTTGACACTGACGTTGACAAGTGTTTTTTTTGTCTTGAGTCAATTCGTCCTGGATCCATTTTCCACAGCGAATTTCCCGAGTTGGTGCAATTGGTTGTCGATTATCTTCTGATCAACATTTCTGCAAGTTCGTGACTCGTGAGTGCTGGGTTGAAGTCAATTTCAATTCCCCAATGCGAAATTCAACACGCGCATGATTTTGCCTCAACCTAATACCTTGCGATTCCGTGTTGCTTACTGTTAGAAAAAAGCAAAGTGCATATTTGGCATGAGTCCAATTCTCTGGGTCTTGTATAGTAGTTATTAACCGCATGCATTGTAGGGACTTCAAGTCCCTGCAAAGTTGACCTTCTCTTGTCAGTAATATCTCATTAGTGCAAACTTTCTATTACAACTCTCCTTTTTCTATAGCTTCTTATTTTTAGTGACATTTCCAGTTTCTCTTGGACTTGGACCGCAAAATGAAGCTCTTCCTATTCTTTGCTTTGTCTTTTTTCGTGTATGTCTCAGCAATCCCGTCTTCATGCCAATCAATCGGACCATCTTGCAAAGTTTGTTGTTCTTTGTTGTTCTTTGAAATCTTTTCACAAAACCAATTCAGACTTTCCTTAACAAAACAATGTCAAAATTGTCAACAAAATTCACATCAGTTGACAACATTGTTTGCACGATTAGCAATGATCTTGGAGCCTGTATTGCGCAAGCGAAACCGTTCACGGATTGCTTGGATGGTTAGTGGAAGGCTGTCAGTCTCTTCTGGCTCACTTTAGCAGTCTAAATCTTGAACAACTCTTTGGGCTTACCATAAACGTTAAAACAAAGAAAAGAAACTTTAGTATTGGCCTCAAAATCGAACTCGTATCTGACCAAGCTTGCGCTCGAGAAAGCGGCCATGTTCAGTGTGGTCACTGATTTCCAGAGTTGTCTCACGGGAACGGTAAGGGTATAAAACTTTGAGAACTTTTCTGAAAGTCAATTCGAGTAAAACTTGTCCGAGCTACCGTAATCCGGCTCTCAATCTAAAGCATGCCCAAGCCTGGTCCTGGTCTAACTGTAAATGAG